ACCTTTACCGCTCCTGCCTGTTTAGGAACTTCAGCTGCAAGAGGAACCTGTCCAGCGTGATGGGTGGTCTACAGATCCCGTTAATCCGATATTTGCACTATCCAGTCTCTTGTAAACGATCCAAACCAGGTGTAAGGATATTTGCCACCACAGATAGGCTTGTCGCGCTGTGTGAAGGTTTGCTTGTCATGTGGCTACAATAATACTGGCAACAATCTTAGAGTTTTCCAATGTGCTTCTCAATGTTCAGCTTCGCTATCCACAAGCTGTTGCACCAAACACCCTTGGTTGCTACTGCCTGACTTGGTAATGGATTGCAATAGAAGCTTGCGACAGTTCAACTCCGTACTTTCTACAAAGAGTTCATGTAGGTGGCTTCAACAAACTGCTTGATAGAAGGATGACTATGTAAAGTGTGCGTGTGTGTCTGTGTGCACGTATCTGCATATATATATATATATGTGTAGCTTCAGCCGCCAAATCCTTGCACCAACCTTCATTCCTGCAGCCAGGAAATCACCAGGAAATCACGCCGTCACGCCGTGTTGCAAATGGATGATTTGCGTACCTGTATTTGGGTATATGCACAATTCTCGTTCCAGTGATACAAACCGAACCAAGAAGATCTCAGTTATATAGTTCAGCAACACTTTGTGTTGGCGAATCCATTCACCACGATCACCTGTCTTGCCTTCTATGTTCCATTTTCTTGCTTTTCTCACTCAGTTTCTGTACAGGCAAAAGTTCCACATAGACAGAGATAACCCGCCCTGAAATCCAGTGTCCTTTAGTTTAGTTTCAGCATTAAAGGAAATACCCTACAGTATTGATCTGGGAAAGGCCCAGTGAAAACTTGTATGTCGAGGAGGGCCGCGCAAGTATGATTCCAGTCTTTATGCGTCCAGATTCCAGAGCACAAATGTAATGCAGTGAAACACTGGCCAGGCCATCACAACATGTGAAAATCCAAAATTGTGCTGGTCAAATGATCGGTGATATGGTTCCACAGCGCTTCCAAATGATCATACCACCCGAGCCTGTGATGCCCGCACTGTGTCAAGGCTGGAGGGAAGCATGTTCGATGGTGTTTGCCTGACTTTCGGAGAGAGTGTCGTGCTTGCGCAAGTCTTGGACACCCTGAGGACAGCACGTTGACATGGACGCCAACATATCGCGCTCATCACGTTGCGAACCACACCTGATCTCCGTGAACCCTTCAACACTGAGCACGTCCGGTGCCGGGCTGAGCTTCTTGCTTATCTCCTGGTAAAGTCTCTGCCTGTGACAGCCTCACATAGGAAAGCTTCAATCAGAGACGGCAAGAACTCCCAGAAGCGTCCCTGCTCCAACATGCAAAAGCCGAAGTCTTCCGAAGAATGCACTTGGTCAAGTGCGGCAGTTGCGATGACGGTTGAGTGGCAGACAGCCTGAGAAAATTTATATAAGCGGTTATCAAACGCATCTGTCAAAGGCAGCTGCTTCACACCAAGGTTGTGAGATCCCGGCTGAGAACATTGAACTGGATCTGGCTGAGATGAACCTAGCGTTGCCCGACCTGGGCCGGCACTCCATCAGGACTCACGAGAGCTTTGAAAAGTTTGAATTGGTTCACAATATCCATGATCTCAAGAGAAGGCAAAGGGTGTCATTTCGAAAGCACAAACTTGAGCATTGCCTGCTTGCATTCTGAGTTGGTGCCTCGGCCTCTTGTCCTTCCATGTGTGAGATCCACCTTTCCGGGCTTGGCCACCTGAGATAGTAGAAGGCAAAGCACGTCCTTCTCAACATGTTTCTTGAAAAAGCAACTTTGCGCGGAGGTGCTGAAGCTCGGCGTTCAGTATGAAGCTGAGCAGCTCGCCCTAAGTAAACTGCTGTTCCAAACCAAAGAAGCTAATGGGAAAGCTCCGGACGCAATGCACGCAAAGCTTGAGCGGCTGCTTCACCGGACCTGAATGTATTCCACATTCAATTTGTGCAGTTAATGAAGATTCATGAAGCACACAGCTGCTCTGGTCTAGGGTCCTGACGTATTTGTCGAAACCATGCCCAAGTTTATGTGCTGCAATTGCCCACGTGGCTGCTTCAAAAGGTTTCAAAGCGATTTGTACCCACCAACGCTTTGATGTGTACAATATACATCCACAAACATGGTGAACGCACATGGTTTGTTCGCACCTGTTGTAGGTCTGCCTCTTGTTGTAGTTAATTGTGGCATGCCTTCAGACCATGATATTGGAGCATTGTCGTGAGCCCAAGCTCGAACAGGACTGCACTCACAGTCGCATGCCAGCCTTTTTGCAATGTCGGGATACAGTAATCAGTACTGCAAACGCTTGATTCGTTAACCACCTCAGCGCAGAACTTTTTCAGCTCTCGTACAGCTGTGCAGCAACTGCCCTTTCTCACACGAGCCTTAGTTTTGCATGTGGTCAGCGTGGTGTTCGAAAACTAAAAGGTTGGTTTCGGAAACTAAAACGTGGGTTCTGGAAACTGTGGTTCAGAAACTCAAACGTGGGTTTGGGAAACTGGGTTCTGAAACTGACAAAAAACAGTTGTTGAAACCGACAAAACCAGTTGCTGAAACTGACACAAACCAGTTTTTGAAACCGACAAAACCAGTTTCTGAAACCGACAAAGCCAATTGCCGAAACCGACAAAACCAGTTGGTGAAACCGACAAAGCCAGTTGCTGAAACCGACAAAAACAGTTGCTGAAACCGACAAATCCAGTTGCTGAACGCAGGGAGTTGCTGAACCGCAGCTGCTGAAACCGACAAAATAGTTTCTGAAACCTAGTTGCTGAACGCAGAGTAGTTGCTGAACATTACTGTATTCGTTGTGGGTTTGTGCACGTCACTCAAGTTTGTCTTGGATTTGTGGATGCTTTCTTCTCATCACACTCCCCTGGATCCCAAAAAAGGACCATGAGCAGTCCCAGCCCCCCACCATCCATCGACAAGAGTCAAATGACAGCATCAAAAGTTTGCTCGTCGGGCAGTTGCGGCAGTTTGGATCCTCTCCAATGCATCCAATGGTAGTTGCTCATCCTGTCCAAGAGCCGCAAGCATTCACGCCACTGGCTACCTCTCTCGCAGGAAGCGAGGACTGCATTGGACGATGCAGTGTCTGTCTGACAAGCTATAGCAGCTAAATTGCTCATTCCCAGCGCATATTCCCATGGAAAGGTGACCAAAGCAGACGTGTGACTGGCTTGAGTGGCTTGAAGTTGGACCCTAACAATGCATCTAAGCAGGTCTGAAGCCATTCTCCATTGATTCAGCCCCAAAGCAGAAAGGCCCTGGTTCATAGAAATGATGTCGTTCTCCAGCCCCACAGTGGCTACACTTGCAACTATGTGAAGCCCCTTGTGCCATCTACTTCCTTTGGATACTGATGCAATTGCACTGTATGTGGCAGTGTCAGCCGTTGACCTCGAAAAAAGGCACAATGCCTCCGTCCAACGGTCGCCCACTTCAGCGGTTTTCATTGCGGCACTGCGAACCATCAACGATGGCCTATGCAACCGCGCCCGCATCGCACTCAACAAAGAGATTGCTTCAATCCAAAAGGATGTCACAGAGCTGGCAAGTGATTTCATCAGGAGGACATCAGCAATTTCATCCTGCAGTTTATCCATGTGGGTCCAAAGTACTAGCGCAGCTTCCCACTCCAAACATGATAGACAAGTGTTCCAAGTCACGGAGTCGGCGACAATGTGTGAGTGTTGCGCAAATTGCATACATGCCAATGTCTGCAGCCACGAAGAAGTTGAAGCATGGCCAACACGGTTGTGCCACTTTACAGTTGGACGAATCTTTGAAATGCACATGTCTTCAAGAAAAACACTGGCAAACTGCCACTGCTTGGCAACCTTGACAAGTCCTGCTGCAAAGGAGACTGCGTCAGGGAGCACAAAATTGTCAGCAAGGCTTCTCAACAAGCTTATCGATGCTTTCCAAAGCTGAGCCTTGCTGCATGCATTCATGGCCACATTGAAGTCAATCACAGAGCAATCATCAAAATCTGGCTTTGAGCACAAAGAGAATAGCGATCTACGCCATTCGTTGGATACTGCAAGTGCACCAAGGATGTACGTGTGGGTGCTCCTATGATCGGCTATGCATCTGACTCTCATCATGTCCAAAGCTGCGAAGGCTAGCTCCCATTGCGAAGAGTCATTGGAGAATGATTTTAGAAGAGCATGAAATGTGAGTCTATCAAGCTGCAAAGACTTCAATCCAGCCTGCGTCAATGATGTAAATGCAATCTTCCAGCCAGCCTTGCCGGCCAAAGCATTGTATGAAACAATGTCCGGCTTGAAGTTGTGCTGGAGAGCTTGAAAGCAAGCAACCGCCATTTGCCAAATCGTAGAGACGACCATTGAATTGTAGTGGCTTACACCCTGCTTGATGCGCATGTTTGATAAACAATGCAGCAAATCTAAAGCAAGTTGCCATTCTAAATTTCTGATGATGGAACTCGCAAAGCTCCAGTTGCTCCAGTTGGCAGATTGCGTAACAGTTTGGAGAAGCATTGGTGAAGTCAATCTACTGTCAGCATTTTTTCTGCAAAAATATCGGATGATGGATGGCCATGCAGCATGTTCACACCCCTCCTGCCAGGCTGTCGAATTCTCCACACAATTTGCTCTTGCAACCTGTTGCACTTCAACAATGTTCGACGGCCGCTGTATCATTCAAGTCTGCCTCGCTTGTGCCAGCCCGGACAACTTTCTCCACACTGCTCAGACTTTCTCATCCTGAACAAAATCTGCCATTAGCAAACTCCTCTAGCAATTGAATTCAAAATTACATGAATGTTGGTGTCATCAATGTATCCTTTTCAACATCATGCCTCGTATGTCCTTTTTCCGCTCAAAAGTCTCAAAACTGAGTTGCTGCCAAACCCTGAAAAGACTGCATAATTCACTATGGTTATATGGTCTCAATTCAAAACTGGCAAGCTGCTGCTGAGAACCTGCATGATTCCACTGAAGACGGCAGGGCATCAAAGGCTGACAAGCAGAACAGTCAATGAAGTTCGGTGGTTGCAAGTGTTAACACCTCATTGCCCAGATTGAATCAAACCATCCAGTTCTCATCCATCAAACTGAGGCATAAATGCTCATACAGAATGGCAAACATGCCTGTAGCGGCAGTGCACCTAGTTTTAGCTCACAAAATCTATGTCTGCGTTGGGCTTCGACAAACTTTGCATCGAAGCGGGACTATGCAATCCTATCCCTATGTCGACTCCAAACTCATGAACCTCTGTGACGTCTTCATGCACCTCAGCAGTTCAAAACAAGGGTTGGTTATGCTGGGATGCTCATCCAATAGAGCCGCGTGATGACTATCTTCACCTTACAATGGGTACATTAGTTGGCCAAATGCATTGAATCGTCATATAATTGTGTATCTGTCTATTTTATGGATATGTCTATATATATATGTAATATATGATGCCATGATGAATACACTGTGTGTGTGGAGGGCCCGCAATGATTGCAGCAACATAAAGCCGAATTCTTGTCCGATGAACGGGCTCCGGTTGATTGGCTTGGAGTGGACTCTTGCTATGAATAAGCTGTGTGCATTAGGTCCGGGAGACCATTTTGTAGCTCCAAAAAGAAGCTCTGTAGGTTAGAAGGAAGGTACAGGACGCACTTTCAACATTGCTAGAAAGCGCTGGGCAGAAGTTGATTCGGCATATGTTGGCAACATGGGCTGGCTTATCACCTATGGAACCTTGGCTTATCAAGCTATCATCTAAACTTATTCGGAATCCGGCAAGAATGTCATTAGGGTGTGAGCTGGCATTGACTGTGTACTCGGTGTATTTCCTGGCCAAAGGGCGCAGCAGAGTGCAAGACAATTTGAGCACGTTCTGTGGCTGGCTAGTTGTTTGGGTGACAAAACACACCCAAGGTCACCCAGAATGATCAAAGCCAAGAAATTGCAACACGTTGACGGTAGCTACACATTTACAGGAATCTGTCCATAGGACCCCGATTTTAAACAAAGACAACCCCCCTTTCTGTCCATAATTCTGTTCTCTTGAATCTTTGGAAGCAGCATAAGGGGTTGATTCGTTGGGTGAAGAAGGGTGTTGGTCACTTTGCGTTGTGTCCTTTTTTGCTCGACCCTTTGAAGTGGAAACAGGCAATTTCAGCCCCCTCGCAGACACATGTGATACACGTACTGACCAAGGGACAACGGAAAAAGACTTTTAGATCTTTTACTGATGGTTCATGACTTGGGTTTTCACACTTTCTGTGGTTGTTGAAGTTGATGGACAGAAACCTCGTCTGGCCTTTGTGGGTCTTACTCCAGGTTCATTCGCCTTAACGAGCTGAGGCATTTGGATTGTTCCAAGCCCTTCAACTCAGCTATGAGATGCTATGAGTCTGATGTGCATCTTCATTGCCAGGCTTTTCTCGACAAAGCCCAGTCTCTTTTGGATGCATGAGTTTCGATCGTTTTCCTTGTTATCATTGAACACCATAATGTGTGGAATCTTATTTGGTGTCATTTGTTGCAGCAAGCTCCGGGACCTGTTCATTTGGGTTAAGGTGGAGGCACATGCTGCAAAAGCTAGTGACTAGCAGCAGCTAGTGGCGTGTCTGCATAAGAGGAGCTTGTTCAGAGTTCCACGACGTCACCGCAAAATTAATTTGGAGTGGTCTCGAACGGGTCTATGACCAATGACCGCTTGTTGCTGCGGCTATGATTAAAGAACTTCATGTGTTTTGGGCTGAAAGCGTTCATTGCAGATAGGTTCCATTCCTGAGCAAAAGGCGAAGCGAGCGTCTTGACTTGTTGCAAAGGTTGAGCAAGGGCCTTTCGAAGGAGTCAGGTATGTTCTGCAGCTACTTCGACGCAGGGTTTGCAGCCTTTTTGCATTCTTCGCTCTCTATGTTGATGATGCCATCACTTCGCAACCTGCAATACCGGCTTTTGATCAGAAGAGGGAAAAGTACATGTTGCGATCCAACGACATGAGGGCCCATGAGGAGCCCCTTACCTTGTTCGCAGAGTCGTTCTTGGACTTGCTGGCTGAAGTGTCTGATCTGTGAAGTTGAGGACTTTTTTCCTCCAGATTCGCTGCCCAAAGCTTTCGTTGGGAAGCGTGGCTCTTTTATCATAGTGCCAACTGCGGCATCTGCAGTACAGTTTGTTTCAGGGTAAACGGTACTGTACATGACCGGCTTTCAAGCAATTTCTGAGACGTCACAAGGCCGCGTCGTCGCTAAGGTATTACGTAATATAGTTTTTGCTCTGCCAATTTGATGCAAGGTATGGTTTGCTATGGTTTGCTCAAGCTAAGCTGGGGTAAGCCACAGGCTCTGGCTGCACTGCTCCATAGAAAAGCAAAAGGAATCAAGAAATGTTCAGCCCAAACTGCAACTTCCTCGAACAGTGGGAGGTCTTTCTCAATAAAGTCTCACACACAATCTAAACCACCAAACAGCGTTGCTGTGGTCACATCCACCAGTGGCCACTGTGCCGACAGGAACTGCCATAGAAATCTACTACGAAGTTCCCAAGCGATCGCTAAGCAAATCGGCCAACGATTGTGCTTCGTCTTAACCAAAGGCGAGTCCGAAAATGTGTTCTCCTTTTTTTTAGCCTGCTCCTACTTAAGAGAGAAGTGAGCTACTAGCAATAGGAAACTCCTAGCTAGGACGCAGGATAGCTCACGCTTCTTCAAGGAAGCTTGGAGAAGCGCTCGCACTGATGGTTTGGTTCCTAGATGTTGAGTTGCTACTGCACCATCAGCTGCAGTCTACCCCAACCACACGTGACGCAATGCAAACAAGAGAAGGACACATCACATTCTCACCAACAGAGACCGGTCAACCACATGGCCAGAAATCAAAACTGAAAACATAATAAAAGAACTCGCAAACTCGCGGTCAAAATCCAAGTCTGTCCTGCTGCTCCCGCGCACCAGACCAGCTGGGTACTTTGCAGCCTCAGTGTCAATCAAATGTCCACCTCCTACCAAACCAGTTTCAGCAGAGATAGGCACGTTCACTGCCAGCTTATCCAGTGCAGCTTTGGGAAGGTCGATGTGGCACTGGCATGGTCATAGCAGAGCAAGCAACACTGCTTTCAAGGACCCACACACACACACACACACAAATATATATATATTAAATGCACCGTGAGCATGGTGAGCTTAGATTGCTGCTTTCACGCGCCTTGTGGCTCAAGCGTATAAGGTAGAGCAATACGTCTGCAATTTCCTGCACAGAGTTGAATTAAGCGAGCAAGCAAGCTCCTCTGGAATGGTTCAGCTCAACTGCACTTGGTCTTCTTGCACTATCACTAGGCTTACTAGACTCTCTTTCAAGCAAAAAAACTGTCACTGCCAATCACCTGCCGCACCGCAGTCCGATGCTTGTCACTCCATCCAGGAAGCCCTTCTTCCACCTCTCACACTGCAGCTTGAGCATGCGGACTTTGTTTTGGTTGCCCGTTTGTGTTACGTCATAATATGTTTACGTGCAATCATACAAACACATTCATATTCCGCTTGCTGAGAAATGCCATTTTAGGCCTCGCCCTTCCATTGGAAGCACTCACATAGTTCTCCGACCTGTCCGAACACTCTAAAGGCAACCACACCTGATTGATACTGGGAAACGACGTCGCGAGCCTCACCCACCAGTGCCAGGGCAAGATTGCGGGGTTGGTGGAATTGGTCCTGCTAGCTCGGGCTGAGCGCGTTGGTGGGGCGGAGCTAAAAACACATGAAGCTTCCTTTTAAGTCGTAGTCCATGAGCAGTCCATGGTTTCAAAACGTTCCCCCTTTAAGAATTCCAGGTTTCTATGAAATCTGAAATGCTAAGTAGTTCCTCTCCATTGCTACGTTGCTAGCTTTGTCAAGCTCTTTAGTCGTGCATGAGTTGCTGTTGGCGCGTTGTGTTACTTAATTGAGCTTGTCAGGGGATTTGATTTGTACCTCTCATGGGTGCACATGGTGTAAAGCCAAACCTTCTCGAAATCAATTATATAACCCACTACAATCGCAAATCCGCTACGCACTCCCAACATTTCCCAACTACAATCTCAACATCTGAGCAGGAGTCCCAATCACGCTCTTTGGCAAATTCAGCTAGCTCTTGTCGGAGTTGTTCAAAGGAAATGCCTCAAGCACCAAAATGATGGTTTGCACCAGTGGTAGACTGCATGTGAACAACAAGCATGAAAAACAACATCTGTTGCTGTCAGAATTTTCACTGAGCTGCCTTCACTGAACTTTATGCCTGACGTCTCCTGAACAAACAGCCGGCGGTGACACAATATTGTGGAACATGTATACCTGGCAGAAGAGCCATTCAAATGTTTTTTCAAACTCAATAAGTTTACTAGAAACAGGTGCATCGCTACTAGTAACAAGTGCGTCGCTACTAGTAACAGGTGCATTCTTGAGCTAGAGTTCAAGACCTCCTCAGCTCCTTTGGACCTGCACACAGCAATCTGGCACCCAACAGAAGTTGCTGTCAGAAGTTCAGTGCACGTGGAGGAGATGTTTCCACCAAAAAAGCAATATAGTATATAATATAGTCGAATATCTATCTATCTATCTATATGGTTGTAAGCTTGTCGGAAGACAAGTTGAGCATCCCTTGATGGAGCCTCGAGGCTTCTGACAGATTTTCGCCTGTCAAACTGCACAGGAACTAATTGAAAACAATAAATCAATAGAATCAAGACTTGCTGTGACTTCTGCAGGCAGGATGCCAACTCGCCGCCGCTTGGCCATGGTCTCAGCGTGAGAGACGCCTGTGAACGATCCAACTGTCCAAAAGCTCTCCAAATCGGACTCCTGGTAGTAAGGCCAGGAGCCCCTAGAAGCGTCCTTGCTCCTAGTAGCGATGCCCTTTGCTCCTACAGAACCGAAGCAACCTTTGCTCTACTTTGGCGTATCACTTTGCTAGACATTTGGCTGTTTCCCTGAGTATGGACTTGATCGAATATCCTTGCTTTTTTAAGCAAAACTGTAGCATGGATGTGTTTACACTTCTGCAGCCATCTTATTGAAAGCTCTGGCTCTCCTCATGTGCCTACCATCACATGTCAAAGCAAACCGCGTGCAAAAAAGCCTCTGCACCGAATCAAAGCATTGTGAGAAGGTGGGTCCCTGAATAGGCCGGAATTTCAGGACAACAATCCAGTTCCTGTCAAGTGGTTTCTTGCTCTTTCAAACTGCAATTGAACAATGCTCCATAATCTACAGCATCCATGAATCAAAATCTTAAGTCTTGGAGTGACGTCCTATGCGACGGTTCAAAGGTCCAACGCAATTTGGATAGCTTGGAACTTTAAGGTCGAGAAATGTTACTACTAGCGTCCTTGTTACTACTAGTAAGGCACTTGTTACTAGAAGCGATGCACTTGTTCCTAGTAGCTTCTTGCTACTATGAGAGAAATGTGACTTTAAATTGGAGGATCGTCCAAGATCTATTCGATGATTCAGGAATGATGATGAACCTGTGCCAGCCACAAGTGTCGTCGACATTAGCCGTTCCAATTGGAAGACTGTGGATTAAAGCCGAAGGTGTTGCTTTCAGTTTGTTCGCAAACTGAAAAAGGGAGTAATCATCAGTCCTACACTACCTTTAAAAAAGAGCAAATGTCTAAGCTACATGTGCTCGCCACTTGTCAAATCCAACCATGAAATAAAGGGAGGTTTACAAAGACTGGGAAACTTGGTCTCCTGCCTGAACTAATTTTATATAATGTGGAGAAGGTATGGACATGAAACCAAGGCAAGTTCTGCTCAAGACATCCTAACATCCGAGCGATCATCACACAACAAACCCAATGCCGGGTATCCCACGACAGGAACAGCATGCACATTCTGCCCACCTGCCCGGAAAGCCCGCTCGACAGCAGCCGCATCGACACCTGCTCCGAGATCCCTCAACGCAAAGTGCCAGGCTTTCACCCGTTCCTTTGCAATCTCCAATAAATAGAAGAAAGAAGAGATGAAACAAGGAAGGTAAGGCCCCTTACAGGGGCACGGCATTGCTTTCCTTGTCATCTGTTGATTCTGCCTTTACTTCTTGTCTCAATCTCAAAGGTCAACCATGATCACCCAAAAACCGAGTCAGTCGAGCTGCCTAGCTGCTTTGTAAGTGCGGCTATGACCTTCAGCGGTCGGAAAGGAAAGGACAAGGAGCAAGATGGCAAGGGCAGTCAAAACTAGAAGTGGTATTGTCTCGCCCAGACGAAATCCAATCATCGCTCATCAAATGTAGTGATGATGACTCGTAAACTGGACCTAAGACTCCTATAGACTCATCGAGGCCTCCCAGCATGTTCATCCTTTTCAAGAATGAGGAGCTCAGGCCACTTGTCTTGAACAGCAAACAATTAAGAAAAAAATGTTTGTGCAAGCGGCGTTGCCTCGCTTGACGGATCACCTCAAAGATGCTCCGCGTGAAAAAGGATGAGCTGAAGAGACCGCAGCAATGACCAAGCTCCCTGCTCTCGCCATTGGAACTCATCTGTCGAATCCAGTCTACTCTGAACACACTGATCTGACGAATCAAGAGCCCGACTACTTGCATATAGTTTGTGCTGCGTAAGTTGTAATCAACTCAATGTGCGCATGAGAGCTGAAGCAAGTTTGAGCCAGTTCGCGCAAAATGTTACAGCACTCAAATTGTTTGCACTCATTCCAGATCGCGCTCATGGCGCAAGAGTTCCATGTCCAAAGACGCTGAGAGTAAAGCCACTATGGCAAAGTCTTCAAGATCCAAAGCTAGATATCTTCGCTGCAATACAGGTTCACATGCAATGCGGGGTTCCAATATTACCAAAACAACAACCTCATATGTCCATATAATCAACTTAAAAATAACTTGTTCCTGAATAGCGAGATGTCTGCACTCATCGGCATTTTCAGCGAAGCGCCTTGATTGCAACAGCAAGTCATAGAGACAAGACCTGTCAAACACATGTTGCCTCTCCTCTTCTGGAACATGAATCTTTGCTGTGGATGAAAAGACTCTCCTGCGCTCTAGGCTTAAATGATAAACTCAACCAGCAAAACCACAGGTAAGCGGGTTCTTTTCATTCAACGAATGTCGTGTTTTCCACGCCTCATAGCAAACCAATCGGCCATGATCTGCCCCCAGGATTCCTTGGCAAGAGAAGGCCATCTCCAGTGGATGTTTGACGCCTATGGAGAAGCAGTTCCTTGAGCAGTTCTGGGTGTCCGTTGAAATTACGGCGATCGAGTTGTAAGACCGTCAAAAACCTTCTGCCTTGAACTGTTCGGCTAAGAATTGCCTTATGACAAGTCATTATGACAAGTTGAGAATCAAAAAACACACTGGCGTAGCGATCTCAAGTAGGGTATCTATGTGAGTTATTAAGCTTCAAAAGAAAGAAGAAACTAGGACATCATTGAGGCTCAGGCTTCTTCAAGGGTCGACGTCTGATTCGGTAACCAAACAATCTGATTCGGTAACTAGGATTCGGTAACCAAAAGCACTGATTCGGTAACCAAAACGTCTGATTCGGTAACCAAAACCGCTGATTCGGTAACCAAATCCCGCTGATTCGGTAACCAAAACTGCAGATTCGGTAACCAAAACCGCTGACTCGGTAACCAAAACCGCTGATT